ATTTTAAGAAATAAGAATTTCTGACCTTAAGCTAAAAATCTCGCTGGGTGGTTTGGTTTCCCCAGACTGGCTTCAGGAGATTTGCAGAGGCCTAATTAGAACACCTATCTTAAGCCTACCCTCATGGACACCATGATTTGAGGCTTAAAATCGTGGTTGCAGAGGAAGAGACTATGAGAAGGAAGAAGCAAACCTAGCCATTCTGAAAGCTAGTATTCGGGCTGTAACTCCTCTAGCCCTGCCTTTGATGTGTGTGCTTACATGTGCTCTACACTCTAAGCTGTTCCATGTGTATATATTTGTGTATGTGTGTGTGTGTGTGTGTGTATACACATATCCAGAAGTAGATGTACTTATACACAGATATATACACACAAAATGATACCCTAAATAAGCAACCCATACCACCCTTAAAATGTCTTTAGAAAATTAACCCATGGAATAAGCAATAATATGTGAGTTATAAACATTCTTGCATATTGGCAGATAACCACACTACACATTCCCCTCCAAGAAATGAGAAAGAGAAGAAAGGGAATAACACAATAGCAGAAAAATGCACTAATCAAATCCATAATCAACTTTGATGATGGAGCAAGGATTCTAACCAAAACACAATGGGGCAAAGTCGCAACAGGTTGTGAGCTTGGAGCGGCACTCTCCTCCCAGGGGCCTCACCCACGCTTTCTTTTTAAACATCTAAAACACTCACAGAGGATTTCAATCATTTGTAATTGCTTTTTCAAAGAAAAGGGTTGCAAGCTGAACACGAGCTCCTAAAAACAGGAAATATCAAAGTATTACATGTATTATCCGCCCCCCTCCACCACTGCTTCTTAAAAATAGGTTTAATGTCTCCTCAAATTGCTCGGAAGTGTTCCTTATCTGAAGGTTGGCCAAAGAAGATTTCCGAACTCAGAGCATGTCTCTAAAACAATTCTTTGCACATAGTCATAATTTATAGAGTAGAAGCTATAGATGGTGGTTCTTAGGGGAAGGCCCAGGTATCTCAGGGGATGCAGGAGAGATGTGTGGCTGCAGAGCAGTTTCCTCCACTGGAGGCTGAAAACCAGCTGGAGGTTTTGGGGAGATGCTTGAGTGAGGGGCTTCAGGGGTTCATGGTGGGGCTATTCGATGGTCAAGTTGTCTTCTTGTACTTGGTGGAGATGGAAAGCAGGCTTGGGGGCCAAAGGGAAGTCACTGGCTAAGGAGAGCTGCTGGGTCAAAAACAGCAGTTATAGTTTTCCCTGTGATGACCACATCGAATATTCCGAACCACAACTTAATAATAATAATCACCATCATTTCCCAAGGCTCTGTTGTAAACCAGGTCCTTACTGGATACCATCTCTCCGGCCTCTCACCTCCAGACTGCATGTTCAGAAATACCATCCACCAGGAAGCCAGTATCTCCTTCCACTGCAAAGCCTCTGGTTTTTCTCTTCATCACCTTTTTAAATGGAAGATGCCAGATCCCAAGCAATTACTTGTTGCATGAAGTGACACATACTCCCACTTTGCACCACTGTGTGGCACTTCATGATCCTTTCTGGGGTTGCTCATTCTCCCCTTCTCTCCCCACCAGCCATTCCTGCCCATCTTTCAAGCCCAGCCCATCTCCTGCCTCCTCCATTAGGACCTTCCCTTCCTTCCAGAACCTTGAATTCCCAGCTCCAAGCACATTTCTTAGCTGTCTCTGTTGGGTACATAGTTAAGCCTTCCAGCTAGATAATAAAATCCCCAAGGCCCAAGCCATGTCTCATTTGTTCTGTGGGCCTGATAGAGCATTATAGAGGGAGGTAGCAATGCAGGGTGCAGATCAGAGGCATGGAAGCTAACTCAGCTAGGCTCCTTGCTCTGCCACACTAAGTGATCTAGAACAAGTGACTGAACTTTGCTGAGCCTCAAGCTCAATGGTTACAGCTGGGGTCTTATAAATCAGAGCCCACAGGTTATTGGGCAGGCTCAGTAGCCACCTCTGTACAGAATCATAGTTAAGGGGTTGGAGTCCAGAGCCAGACTGTCCAAGTATTAATTTTACCTCTGCTACTCACAAGGTTACTAAACCGGTCTTTGTCTTGATTTCCATGTGTCTAAAGTGGGGATAATTACACTTATCTCATTGCATTGTTATAAGACTGAAATGAGTTATTTTATGGTGAGCACTTAGAACAATTCCTAGCACCTAGGAAGTACTATGTAAGGATCTGCCATTATTAATATTGTTATCATAGAAAATGGATGTGTCATACCTGCTCTAAGTATTTATGGAAAGATAAATGAGATTGTGTGTAAAGAGGCTGTCACATTAGGCATGTGACAAGTGGTCCTGCCCTTCCTTCATCATCCCATTGAGTCTGGTACTGTATAAGGTATACAGTAGAGGTTCTATAAATCCTTGTGAACAGACTGATACCTTCCTAATAAGGATTTGAGAGAATAAGCATATTTTTTTCTCATTTAGAGGGTATTAGATCTGGGTTCAACATACTCTATCCCTGGAGTTAGCAATATAAATAACCAATTTTATTAACTATTCCTTATTTGTCAGAAACTACACTGAACACATTTTGTTTTTTTTTAATTCTCACAAGTCTTGTGTTGTTTATGCCCATTTTTACAAATGGGAACACTGAGGCCCAGAGAAGTTAATGGAATAGGTCACCCAGCTAGTACAAGACAGATATATAAGACATCAATGATATGCACATGTTTTAAATACCTGTGCTTTTTTAGCCACTGCACAACAGCCTCCTGCCAAAAGTCCCCTGAATAAAAGGGAGGCAGAGGCCTTGAAACATCATTCATCATTTCCTGGTTGTCTTCTTATGATAAACACTAGGTTTTGGACCAGGGAATTACCAGATGGCAATTCAGACTCAGTCCTCAAGCCATATTCAAGGGACTTTTCTGAAAGGTGAGTGTGCCCCATGTCAGTCAGAATGTAGGGACATCCTGACCAAATAGGCAAAATTCCTTTTGACAAAGTCACTTTGATGTCAGGGTGGGGCTATGAGAACAAGGATCTGCCACCTGTCACGGTCCCTAGGAACCCTGGATACTGTCAAGGAGAGGGGAAGCTGGTAAATCCAGGATGGTCCACTGGAAAGTGGCTGGTTTCCTAACAGTCTATCCAAACCATCTTCATGATCAGTGCATGTGGGCCATTGAGGTGGTCTGAGAGGATGCTAGGGATTGTGGGCCAACAAGGAAGAAGGGAAGCAATGTCTTCAGGGAACAGGGCCCAGCGAGCCTATCAGGGAGAAGCTGGAGGACATATTTTCAGGGGACAGCATAATGAATCACCTTTCCAGAGCCAGCCCACTGCAAGTTCTCCAACAACGTTTGTTAATTGAAGGGTCAAATGGGCAAAACTAGACAGCTGCCTGGCTATGAACAGTCCTATCTTTTATCTTCCCCCTCATTCCTCGAGCCCTCCTCATCACGCTCAAGCGTATGTGTCACATTCTGAGTCACTGTCCTGGTCTCCAGCACACTGTCCACTACACCTTCTAATCCCTGCTCCATGGAGAACTAGCAGGAGGCACTGTCACACTCACCCCCGTTTCAGAGCCCCCTGGACAAATTCTGTGGCTAACAACAGAAAAAGAACAGAGCACACAACCCTAGCAGAGACAGGGCCCGGGAGCATGGGAGGAAATCTTGCCTTCCTCCCACACACCATCACTCAAAGCTGTCAGCTTCCAAAAATGTTTAGCAAGTGCAGCAGCAAGGGCCATGCTTATCAGCCTGGTGCGGGAGCTTAATCTGCTTGGAGGGCCTTCTCTAGCCTAGAGTTCCAAAAGTCTGCTTACAATTAGCTTCCAGCTCCAGTTCCTCCATCAGAAAGTCTAGGAATGTGTTGAGCTCTAGCCTCTGATCAGAGAAAGCTCCAGGAGAAGGTGGGGACAGTGTCAGCAGGGAAGTGCCTGCCAAAAAGGTCAGCTGGTCTGTTGCCACTTCCCCTACACCAGCCCCAAAACTCCCCCTCTGGCTTCCAGCCTTTCCCTACCAGGACAGTCACATCCGTCAGGTCGGTCTGTCCCCAAAAGTCCCTGATGACTGGCTGCCAAGAAAATACAGCATGCCCCTGCTCCCTCCTACCAGAAGAGGGGGGAAATGCAGCAGGGAGGGCAGGAGGCCAAGAGAACCTGATTGGCCCTTGCGGATTTCCTTAAAAGAGATTGCACGGCCTGAGCCTGTCACCCAGCAGAACTGGGGAACTGGGTTGATGCCGGCTCTATCTGCAAAGGTACAAGTCACCATTTCTCTCCCAGCAATTCTCCCATCCCGGTCCCTACCCTCACTCCCACCTCCTCAGTCACCCCGGCTAGCAACCTCTGGTTCTCCTACCCAGGAAGGAGGGGCTTATCTTCGGGCCGCCATGCCAAGCAGCCACCCCCACCCCACCGCTACAGCTAGCTAAGACGCTCGAAGTCTCCATCTGCCTGCAGTCCCAGCACCTTGCTGGAACTCGATTCCCTAAGAATGGGATAGGGACAGGGCCGTCTAGAGCCAAGAGGAGAGAAGGTTCACTGCCAGCCCCCGGCCCCCTTTTCCTGGATCTTGCAGCTAGGTCAGGGAGCTACGAACCCAATAAGGCTCAGACCATTCGTTGGCAGGGACCAAACCTCTGCAGAACCGGCAGACAGGCACAGCGGCAGCAGCAGACACTGCCTTCTTAGAGCCAAGCCCTCAAAATGCAGGACTTGACATTTCCAGTGCTGTACACGCTTTTTGAGAACACCTCAAAAAGAAGTGCATCCCCCATCCCCAGATGCCGCAAGCATGCCCGCACTCGGGATATGCAAAGCACCTTAGGCTAACCTCGGGCACCCGGGCCACACCCACTGGCCGGCCCACTCTCCTTGAGAACCCCTGCAATCGGCCAGCCTAAGGCAAATGGTTGCCCTCTCTTTCTCCCATCTGAACGTGCCCTCCCCAGTTGAAGTATTCACCCATCCCCACATAACAGTGCCCCAGCACACAGCACCTCTCACCTGGGTATCGAACCCGTTTTCCAACGAACCGCTCTTCCGCAGCGGGAGCCCCTCCCCTGCAGGTTCCTGCAGCCCTTGCGATTTCAGCGGGATCTGGCTGGAGTAGGCGGTCTTGCTCACCTCCACCTTGCTTCCCAACTTAAGGTAGCAGGGCTGAGGGCCAGCCCGGGCCGGGGGCACATGCAGGATGGGCGCAGCGCTGTGCACGGGTTTGGGCAGTCCCGACTTCATTTTGGAGGCTACCAGGATGGCCGGCATCTTCTCCCGGGGATTCGGCTTTCCCAGCACGTCCCTGGCAGCGGCGGCGGAGGCTACCGCTAAAGGCAGCGCGGGCAGCAGAGCAGGCGCCGGGCCTCGGCCCGCGAGGCGCCCACCACCAGCGGAGGAAAAAAAGAATCCCCGGGTCGGGGAGCTCCGAACAATCCGGCAAGCGCGTCCTCTGGGTGCCGGGATGAGGTGGGGGACTGGTCACTGCGTTCAGCCGGTCCCACCTGGACGGATACTGGAGCCGGGTCTCACGCCCCTTCAGGGCGGCCTGTTCAAGAGCTCTGGGCGTTCAGGGACTGCTGCCTCTGGCAATTTTCCTCCCGGGAAACCGAAACTCGGAAGCCCATATTAACTTGTCATTGCATCTCCGAAGTGAGATCCCTTTGGAAGAGAGCGAGCCGGCGGGAACGCACGAGTCCTCTCTGAAGAGGCGGGTGTGAGCGGGTGAGGGAAGGAGAGAGCGGCGGAGGAAGGAGAGAGAGGGGGCGCACAGAGCCGAAGACGTCTCCACGGAGAGGCGGTTGCCACCCTGCTCGCGAGCACCGCAGTGTCACCCGCGACGCAGCAAAGGCGCGACAAGAGCCCCCAAAAGGTCTCTCTCAGCGCGACAGTCACCACTGCCCAGAAGCCCCTCGGACAAATAGCACCTTAGCGCCTACGAGTCTGCACATGCTCCGTGCGCTATAGCGCAGCAAGGCTGTGGCCGTGGGGCGCGAGCACCGGGACGCGCGGCTGGCAAGCTGGGCAGGGCTGCGCTCGCTAGCGGCTGCCGCGCTTCCCGGGAAGGCAGCGCTGGCTGCGGGGCTCAGCGCAGGGAAGGACAGGCTGAGGCCGGCGCGGCTACGGCGCGCGCTGACAGCCTGGACCGTCCCAACGCTCCCATTGGTCTGCAGCGCGCCAATCAGAGGCCGCGGCTCTCACTGCAAAGGGGGCGTGGTCTCAACTCCGGGGCCGCCGCCGAAACTCTGGGGCCGCGCTTGGCCGCAAGTACAAAGCGGGCTGGTGGCAGCTCTGCGGCACTGCTCCAGTCGCGCGCCACCGGAGGGCCGACACCCCCATATCCCTGAAGCCTTCTTTTGAAAAATGCCCTTTCGAACACAAACTCCCGCCTCGGGGCCCCTCGGGCACGGTTCAGGGGAAGTTCGTTTCCTTTTTCAAATTATTCTGGTCACCTTAACGGTTTGAGTCTTCCGGAGGCACGCCCGCAGCCTCGCTGCCCCCCATCTAGCTTGGACAGGGCGGTTCCTCGTCTCCCGCGTGAAGAACGCGCCAGCCATTTCTCCTCTCCTCTGCCTGCTCTTCCAGGCGGGTCGGGGGGGCGGGGGCGCCCCACAGCTTCCTTTTCAGCTTTCAAAGGCTGCACATTTCACTTAACTATTTGAAGTATTTATAGGCAAATACAATGCTCAGGGAAGCCTCCCGCCCCAAGACAGCTCCTCCTCGCAACCTACCACAGACTCTGTAATTAGAGTGGCCGGAGGAAGCCTGGAGAAGCTCCGTGACCCCGGCAGGCTCCGGCCAAACCTTGCTGCGTTACAAGTAGGAATCCCTCCCTGTCCGCGCCTCCGATGCGCTAGCCCCACAGGTTCCTCCACTTTAATTCGTAGTATTCCTTCCTCCTCTCAGTTGCTTTTCGGGTTCTACGCTGACTCAAAGTATATGTGTAGAAGGAAACGGGTGATCCATGCAGGTCTGATCCCTCAGGATTCATGGATGACGAACCCCCTCCCTGTGGATCAGCCTGGATTTGAATAGGTCAAGTTCTCCAACCTTATATGCATTCTTCTACGTGCATATTTTCACATGTAAAGTGGAGGTTTGACGTTTACATAATACACTAAAGTTTGGGCTAAATGAGACTGAGTGACAGTTATTTAGCGCTAGTACCTGACAATGTAGGAGACCAATAAAAGTTGTGTCCCTATTATTGAATTGCTGCTGCCCCGCCCCCATCATCTCTATAAGCTATTTGTCTCTTTTGCTCTGGGATACAGGTTGTCTCTTTGTGCCCACTATATAGCCTGATCTACAATGCTGATGACATTGATTTATAATTATCCAGATGTTATTGATGGAATGTTGGAGTCCCCCTGCCCCAAATTCATATGTTAAAACTCTAACCCACATGAGACGGATGAAGAAGCTCTATGACCTGGGCAGCTTGTTACTTGAGAATTGTGATGGTATTAGGAGATGGGACTTTGGGGGGGGGGGTAATAAGTTCGTGACTGTGGAATTAATGTCTATATCAGAAAAGACAGGGTGGAGTTGATCTTTTTCTGCCTGAAAAGATATAGCCAAAAGGCAGCCTTTGTGAACCAGGAGAAGGACCCTTGCAAAGAACCTAACAAATGTTGGCAGTCTAATCTCAAAATTTCAGCTTTCAGGCTTATGAAAAACAATTCTTTGTTGTTTAACTCTTGCAGTTTACAGCATTTTTGTTATAACAGCTTGAATTGACCAAGATGCCAGACCAAAGGAAGATTGAGTTTTAAAACAACCTCTGTAGCGTTAAAAAATGGGAAGTGACTTCTTGCCCTGGCCTGCTTCCCCCTTCAGTCTTCCATCTATTCTATATATAATGACTTTCTACTCTGACTAGGCTGAATGTACACAGCCCTGTATGTAAGCCTGTTGCAGTTATCCTTCCTCTCTGAAATTAAATCACATGTGGTCCATGACACAAAATGTCCCTTTGCCATCTGATGCCACTTCCTGTACTGTTGTCTTAACTTATTATTTATGCATTTATTCTCTTTTAAGTGGATACACATTTTGAAGCTCAGCACTGCATTTTAACTTTCCTTAGATTCTCTCAATATCAAGCATAATGTGGACAACTACCCAAAGTGTTACTAAATGACCAAGGGAATGATAGCAGCAATTCTCAAGTAACAGAGGTTGCCTTTTAGATCTATGAACATAAGGACATACTAAATGTTATGCTATATTAAACCATGAATTCTGGTTCTGACAGATGGACCAGAATTCTGGTTCTCACAAGATGAAACAAGAATTATAGAAGGAAATTGCTGTCTTCATCTTCTAAAGATCCTGGAGATATTCCAAAGTGTTCCTATGGCTCTGACGAAGCAGTTCCCAAATGTGACCCAAGAGTAGCAGCTACAATATTACCTGGAAACTTGTTTGAAGAACTGCCTCATACGTATTTAATCAAAAGCTCCCATGGGGCGGGGCCCAGAAATCTGTGTTTTAACAAATGTTTAACTCAGTGATTTTGATGCATGCTAAAGTTGGAGAACTTCTCCTAACCAATGTATCATGCAATCAATGCACTTCCAGAGCTTATTAAACCTTAGTTTGCAAAATAATCTCTGGAAATCTTGCTAAAATACAGGTTCAGATTCAGTAGGTCTGAAACGGGGCTGAGATGCTGTTTTCCAGATGATAAACTCCCAGGAAGTACCCACAGGGTGGTCTGGAGATCACCCTATGAAGTAGTAAGGTTAAACCAGAGGCAGCAAAAGTGTCTTATCTCAAGAGCCATCTGTAATTAAGTGCCTTTCTGCTACTGTGGTCTGAAAAGGATACTGAGGGTGCATCTAGATCTATTTGGAAACAGCAGCCTGGGCAATTGATAATGCTTGGCATGGGTATAGAAATGGAAATAATGACATATATACCTTCCATTTGCCAATTTGATTTTCCAGTTAAAACAGAATTGCCAGCAAGGTAATTGCTTGAATTCTGAGATCCAAATATGTACAAATATAAATAACAGTGCATTCTCTTTTTTTGTATTAAAGTACTTCTTTCTAACATTCTAGGATTTGGTAAGCATTCACCTTAACTCCTATAACTAAAAGTCTGAAATTTTCTCATCTTTCTTGATTGAAGACAAATTCATCTTGTAATTAGCTTCCAAATTTCTTTCTCTGCCTCTTCATCCCTCAATAATTTTATTTGCTCTTTCCTGGAACATTTTTTTTATCTCTCTTTTATATTTCCCACAAGCCTTCATATTTCTTATTTAAAGCAAAATAATGTATCATACTAACCAGACAAGGTAAAAAATAGCAAATAAGAGGCAAATAAGAGAATTATAAGATTCCTCCTTAAATAAGATCATCTCAAATTATAAAAATGTCCTGTAAATGTATTCCTTCCACATGGATGCTCTGTGAAAATGAAAGAAGTAATTTAAAATCAACATATTTGGCAAGCATTGGGAGCTAAAGAAGTCACTGGGTTAGAGAACTAAAAGCTGTTCTGGAAAGTATACTATCCAGTTTTTTTTTAAAATGTTATTTTGTATTACATGCATTATGGACAAAGATACAAACTTGAAATATCCCACCATTTTCAATCTTAACTTAGACAACTCTTTCTCTTCTGACTCTAAGCTTTCAAAATCACTCAAATGTCAGTGATAGGCCAATTCAAAACTTATTGCCTAAGATCTCAGGACCACTGATGTTCTTGAGTTTGGACAGTTCCTTGGCTACAAGAGCCAGCCTCAGATCTGGAAGCACCAGCTTGCCCTTTTCTGATCCTCAACATCAGCCACTGATGAGGATGAGGGTAAATTGGGCTTCAGAATGGACCTTCCACTGATCAACCCCATCAGCCCATCCTTCATCTGAGTTAAAGACACCATCTGCCTGACCTCCCAAGAAGATAGTGAAGAGCTGAGAACATTGAAACTCCAGCCTGTCACTATAAAGATGCAAGGATCTGGGGCAAAGTCAACAGCCTTCCAGAAACCCTCAATTATAAATGACGCGGAAAAATGTTGAAAGTCTCTGGAGTAATTTGAAAGGAAAAACATCCATAAGCCTATCTGGGAGTTAAAAATAAAACACACTTCTCTGCAAAAGAAACAATCAATGAAATGAAGAGAGAGCCTACATTTTGGAAGCACATTTTTGCCACATGCATGTCAGATAAAGCACTAATTTCCAGGATACATAAAGAACTCAAAAAACTTAACACCAAAAAAAAATATTATAAATAAATAAATAAACAATCCAATCAATAAATGGGCTAAAGAGCTGTATTGTATTTCTTCTTCTGGGAAATGTCAGAAGAAGAAATACAATCAATCAACAAATATATGAAAAAAATGTTCAACATCTCTAGTAATTAGAGAAATGCGAATCAAAAATACTCTAAGATTTCATCTCACTCTAGTCAGGATGGCAGTTATCAAGAATACAAGCATCAATAAGTGTTGGACTGCAAATTGGTGTAATCAATCTGGAAAGCAGTATGGAGATTCCTTAGAAAACTTGGAATGGAAACATCATTTGACCCAGCTATCGCACTGCTCGGTCTATACCCTAAAGACTTAAAATCAGCATACTACAGTGATGCAGCCACTTCAATGTTTAGAGCAGCACAATTCACAATAGCTAAACTGTGGAAGCAACCTAGATGCCCTTCAATAGATGAATGGATAAAGAAACTGTGGTACATATACACAATGAATATTACTCAGCATTAAAAGAGAATAAAATCATAGCATTTGCAGGTAAATGGACAGAGTTGGAGAATATCATGCTAAGCAAAGTAAGCCAATCCCCAAAACCAAAGGCTGAATGTTTTCTCTGATAAATGGATACTGACTCATAATTGGGGGGGCATGGGGAGAATGGAGGAACTTTAGGCAAAGGGGAGGGAAGGAGGGGTAGGGGGAATGGGGATAGGAAAGATGATGCAATGAGATGAACATCATTACTCTAGGAGCATGTATGACTGCACATGTGGTGCAACTCTACATCATGTACAACCAGAGAAATGAAAAGTTGTGCTCCATTTGTATACAATGAATCGAAATGCATTCTGCTATCATGTGTAACTAA